CATGAATACAGTAAAATTGTGGGATACAGAATTAATATCCAGAAATATATAGCATTTCTATATACGAACAACAGACAGACTCAGATAGAACTGAAAAAAGTTATTCCATCAACCATAGCCACAAAAAGGATAAGATCCTTAGGAATAAATCTAACCAAAGAAGTTAAAGACCTCCACAAGGAAAACTATGAGAAGCTAGTAAAAGCAATTGAAAATGACACAAAAAAGTGGAAGGATATCCCATGTTCCTGGATTGGAAGTATTAATATAATCAAAATGACAATTCTACCCAAATTAATCTACATATTTATTGCAATGACAATCAAATAGCAGACACATTCTTCACAGATCTTGGAAAGACAATCATAAAGTTTGTCTGGAATCATAAAAGACCCCTTACTGCCAAAATAATACTGCACAAGAGGAGCGGAGTGGGCAGCATCTCACTCCCTGACCCAAAAATATACTACAAAGCTGTGGTAATCAAAACGGCATGGTACTGGCACAGAAACAGAAATGTGAACCAATGGAAGAGAATAGAGTCCCCAGAAATGAATTCCCAAATATACAGTCAACTGATTTTTGACAAGGGGTACCAGTTAATCCAGTGGGAAAAGGAAAACCTCTTCAACAAATGGTGCTGGAAAAACTGGATTTTCTCATTCATAAAGATGAATCTGAACCCCTACCTCTCACCTTTGACAAAAATCAAGTCAAGGTGGATCAAAGATCTAAATCTAAGACCTAAAACTATAAATCTGCTCCTGGAAAACACTGGGAAAACTCTGGGAGACATCGTAGTAGGGAACGATTTCTTAAATGAAACCCACAAAGCACAGTCGATAATCCACAGAATAGAAGAGTGGTATTACATCAGACTAAGAGGTTTCTGCATGGCTAAAGACACAGTAATTAGTGTGAATCAAAAGCCCTCAGAATGGGAAAATATTTTTGTAAACTATGCATCAGATGAGGGACTCCCAGAATCCACAAGGAACTCAAGCAGCTGTTTTGAAAAAAGATGATCAATCTTATTAAAAGATGAGAGAATGAATAGAAAAAAACACTCTCTAAAGATGACATATGAATAGCTAAAAGACATATGAAGAAATGCTCAACATTCCTCATTATAAGGTAAATGCAGGTCAAAACACCAATGAGATATCACCTAACTCCAGAATCACTAAGATTAGAAAAACAGAAAAGATAAGTGCTAGAGGGGGTGCAGTGAAAGGGAAACTCTCTTACACTGCTGGTGGGAATGTAAATTGGTCCAGCCACTGTGGAGAACAATTTGGAGATTCCTCAAAAATCTACAAATAGAACTACCAGATGATCCAGTAATCCCACTCCTTGGTATCTACCCAAAGGACAGAAGAATTCTTCATC